GGTTCTCCCGAGTCGACGAGAGGCGGGGGCGGGGTTCGGATGTCGCCACGCGTGCCGCGACTTCCGCACCATGCCCCCCGCCCCGCGCGCCTCGAGCTGCCTGAATCGTTGCTCAGCGAATGGAGACGACCTGCGCGCTGGTTCCTCACACCGCGCGGGTCGTCCCCGTTCTTTCCCAAAGACGCTCTTCCCAACGAAGATCCGTTGATCAAATGGGAAGCTGCCGGCAGGGTGGCTGCAGACAACGGGCGCCCATTCGTGGGAAGCACAGATGGAGATGATCTCCAGCTCCTCCATCGGACTGCCTGGTCCCAGACCCCAGTCATTGAGGCGATGCCCGCCAAGGGTTCCCGGGAAGACCAGCTGAAATCGAGCTTCGAGGTTCGCAGGGCCAGGGCAGCAGAGGAGAAGACAACGTTCCACGGATTTGCGACCTTCGTCGGTCATTTGCATTCGTGGGGCATGAAATTGCGTTTAACAGAGGTCTGCACGCCTACAGAGCTGCTGGCATGCATGTTCCTTGCCACGAAAGTGGCGGAGAAATCCGGCGGCGTCAACGCTGCATATCAATATGATTTGCTTGCGCGGAAAGGAATGGCCCGGGCGTTCAAGCACGGAGAGGACAGCGCGGCCAAATTGCATTTTCACTAACTTGGCCCTGGACCTGGCTCGCGAGGCCACCTCGCCCGCGCGAGCAAAAAAGGCTGTGGCCGCGGTGCTGGCCCCGCTTCGCCCCCAGCCGCAGCCGCCGCGCCGCAGACGCAGAGCGGCAAGGCGTGCCCGCAGCGGAGCAGCACCGACAACCGCCGAGTCGCGTCTCCCAGCCGCCAGCGCTCCGGGACCCCTGCCCCCGCCGGCATGGGCGAGCACCGCTCCAGCAGCTGGACCAGCAAGAGTTCTGACTGGGGCGGCTGGAAGGATCGCCGCTGAGGCGGCGATGGTGGCCTGGATACCGATTCGGATGCGAGTGCCTGTTCAAGTAGTCCGGGGCGCTCCGCCTCTGCAGTTTTGCCTCTCGCCATCTTTAAGGACGCGTCGACGCACCTTCCGGGCAGAGCGATCAGAATTTTGGCGCGAGCGGGGGCGCGCGACGAGTCAGGCGCGGGCGCAGGAGCGGGCAACTCTGCCCTACCACGTGCGCTCAGCGCTCGGCCAGGATAAGAATGTCCGCTGGCTTGCCGAAATCGCGCGTGCCATGGTGTGGCCCGATGCAGCTTTAGCGGAAAAATTGAAGCGCGGCTTCCCGCTTCTCGGGCAAATTCCGAGAAGTGGCGTTTCGTCTCTGGCCCCCCACGCGCCAACCAGAGCGCGTGCGGAGGCCCTGCTCGAGACAGCGCCGGATGCAAATAATTCGATTCTTCCGCAGGCCAATCGGTCTGCGATCGCAGATTCTGCGATTGCACATGCATTTAAGGGAAAATGCGGAGAGGAAGTCGAGGCGCGGAAGGCGCGGTGGATAAAGTTTTCACCAGCCGATTCCATTGCAACGCCACGATTCCCGGCATGTGAAGGATTTTGCGAGGACGCCGAAGGCACTTGGATCCCTTAAGTGCGTCTCGTTGACGGTTCTATCGATTCCAGCGCGAATGCAGCTACGCCCCTTGGAGAGGCCCTCCCAGCGGACACCCTAGATTCGCTTGTTCAATTCTCGGGGCGCGGCGACCATGCCGAAATTCGATTCCGCAGAGAGGACTCCAAGGGAGCTTTTAAATCCCTGCCCCTCCGCGAAGAGGATGCGCCGCATGCTGTGGCTTCATGGGGACCCACGGCAGCTGCAGATTCTAGCTTGCAGCTCCCAGCGCGCCCGTTTGGGGCATTGGGTGCCGTGCATTCGCGGCATAGACTAGGCAGTGTTGTCCAAGCGTTCTTTGGCGCAGGAGTTTCCAAGTCCGGCGCCTCGCTTCGTCGACGATTTGTTCGCGGCAGACGAGAAAGCTAAAGAAAGTGCGCGGGAATTTCCGGGACCGACCGGCGCCGCAAATTGCGCCCGCCAGGTGATCGAGCTCCTTGGCTGGGAGTTGGAACCGAAGGAATCCGTGGAGAACGCAGCTACTGCGGCAATGCTGGGCGTCTGTGTCCGCGCGCGGCCCGGTTCGATTGTTCTCTGGATTGGCCGAGATAAGCTGGGGAAGTGGCCTCATTGTATAGATTGTGCATTAGAAGCAAATTTTCTCCGACCAGCGGAGTCTCAGCGCCTGGCGGGCCGGCTGAGCTGGGGGGGGCCCGTGGTTTTCGGCCGAGGTGTTCGAGCTTACTTGGCCACGTCGCACTGGTAGGCTTACCAGGAATACCGGCCAAGTAACGAGGCGAGTGCGCAAAGCGCTTCTGTGGTGGAAGCGTTTTCTCGGTGCTTGTCCTGCCCGCGTCGTTTCTCTGCGTCCGCGCGAGGTGCTGCGCTGCTTCGTTTATACGGATGCCAATGGTGACGGAAGCATGGCTTTTGTGCTGGCCTATCCGACGATGCGGGCATGGTGTGACACTTCAGTGCCCGCTGAGGCGAAACAATGGGCCCTTCCGCGCCGCGGGCAGGTTCTCTTTGGGAATTGATAGCGGCAGCGTGCAGTTTCCAATTCCTCATGGGGAATGGTTTGAAGGATTGCGAGATCGAATCATTCGTCGACAGTGACGTCGCGCTCCGCGCTCTCATCAGGGGCGCGAGCCGACAGGCTGATTACAACGACGTCGTGAATGAACTCTGGTTTACAGTGGGCGCTGCAGGCGTCCTCCTGCATGCAGCGCGCGCGCCTTCCAGATTAAATTTTGCAGACGGCCCCACGACAAAGCAATCTTTGGCGGAGTCTTCCGCCGAACTCGCGGAGCGAGGATTCCAGCAGATCCCGCGGCATTGGCCAGCCGCCACGCCTTGGAACACACGGTGGGGGGAACGCAGCGGGGAGCCGTGGACAAAAAGCATCTGGAAGATTATGGTCAGATCGTCTGCGTCTGAATCGTGTGCGAGTCTCTTGGTGGGACGAGCGTCTGTCTTTGATTTCTCGAGAGAAAGCTTGGGTTTGGTTTGTAATCCCTGCGCAGGGCAAGCTGCTCAAGACGCACGCCCGTTGAAGTAGCCGTCGGCTCAGAAACTTGCGCTCTCTCGAGATGGAGCCAGGTTTGTTAAATTGCTTCGATGCTGGCCGGGCTGCCGCTCTCAGCGGCGCGGGGAAACAAAGCAGGAATGTTCGTCCACGTGCAGAGTCATGGCTTGCACCTCTGCTGCGCCGCGCCAGTGCTATTTCTGGCGAGTCGGTCGAAGTCGGTGCTCTTGAGCAGGAATTGCTAAGCGAAAGCGCCGCCGAGCCTTCCGATGTCCAAGTCACTTCGGCAGAAGAGGCCTCTATGATTCGGTCTCCTCTACAGCGCTGGCCGGATTCATTCGTCAGGCAAATGTTTCTCATGCGTGCGCGAGAGATCACTGGTCGTGCGAAAACGGCCGTGGCGCCTGAGCAAGCGAAAGCACTTCCGGCTGCAATTCAAAAGACTGCGAGCACATATGTGGTTCAGGACGTTGACAAACACAGGAAGGCGATGGTTGCGCTGACGGTTTGTACCATGGCGCGCCTGTCTGCGCAGTTGCCTCCACCAGCTATTCTGGCCGACGCGATTGTGGCAGTGGCTGCTGTCGACACATTGATGTCGGACCCTCCAGAGCAGCCACCCCGGGCAGAAGCGCCACGACGATCGGAGAGCACGTCGGAAGTGAGTTTCGAGGAATAAAACGATGGGAATTGAATTTTGTAGCTGGAAGACCAGCGCTGGGGGCTACGCTTCGGCGCCTCGCTAGTATGGAAAAATTGTTCTCTGCATATATTCGATCCCTGGCCTCCATCGGATGCTAAGGTCGATGCGTTCGTGGTGCTCTTTCGCAATGCATCTTCTCTCGGCAAGTACCTATCCCATTTAAGAACAGTCCTGCGGTGGACTCGTAGCCTTCTCGGGCCGCTGCTTGATACAGGACGTGTAGTACGTGGGGCAGAGAAACCGGGGAGAGTAATGCGTCGTGTCAAGATCCGTGCGACAGCTGATCAAACTCGAAAGTTGGCGCAATGGTGCTACAAGAACGATCAACAAGAAATAGGCGATCGATGGGTCGTGGCACGGCATGATTGCCTTCGACACGGAGAGGTGCTGCAGTTGGGTCAGCCTCGGGCGCGGGTGCTTCTTGAGGCGACCGCTGGAGGCGCCGAGGCCATCCGGAATACTTTCACACATCGCAGATTCTGCTCTGAACAGTAACTCGTAAGTGCATGTGTTCCTTGCAAGGAAAGACGCTATGCGGCACGTGTGCAACCTCGAACCCGCTCAACCCCCCCCCCGCGCCCCTCGAGCTGACTGACTCGCTGATCGGCGAGGATCGGGCTCGGACTTCGCCGCGCCGCCGCGACGCGATGCCATGCGCCCCCCGACCCAGGAGTGCCAAGGATCGAATCGATGTGTCGGATCGGCAATCGAACTGAATCAGATTGGCCGAAATCGGCATCCGAGTCGGGAAAAGTCGCATCGGCGGAATAATCGGCAGGCCAGCGGGCCTCCAGTGTGAGGAATCGGAGCCCACATCTCGGAATCCGAAACCGAATCGGATCGGAACCAGAGGCCATCGAAATCGAATCGAATCGAATCCGAGGAATCGAGACGAGCCCACCCCCTTCACACCTCCCTCCTCTTCCTCCTCCTCCTCCTCCTCCTCCTCCTCCTCCTCCTCCTCCTCCTCCTCCTCCTCCTCCTCCTCCCCCCCCCTCCCTCCTCCTCCCTCCTCCCCCCCTCCTCCTCATTCCCCCTCCTCCTCCTCAACTCCTCCTCCTCCTCGCCCTCCTCCTCCTTCTCCTCCTCCTCCTCTTCCTCCTCCTCCTCCTCCTCCTCCTCCTCCTCCTCTCTCCTCCTCCCCCTCCCCCTCCTCCCCCTCCTCCCCCTCCCCTCTCGAAGCTCGAAACTCGATGCCCCGCCGACCTGCGCGGCCCCCTGCGGCCGCCGCGCGCACTCGCGCGGTTCGTCGGCGGCGGCGCCTGGAAGGGCGGCGGCCCCGGCGGCGGAGGCGGCGGCGCTGCGGCGGACATCGCCCTCTGCAGGGGGCCGGGAGACGCTTTCGACGACGACGACGGCGACGACGACGACGACGACGGCGACGACGGCGGCGGCGAAGGCGACGACGGCGGCGGCGACGGCGACGACGGCGGCGGTGACGGCGACGGCGACGGCGGCGACGGCGACGGTGGCGACGGCGGCGGCGGCGGCGACGGCGACGGCGGCGGGGGCGGCGGCGACGGGAACGGTGGCGGGGGCGGCGGCGGCGATTCGGGGGTCTTCGAGCGCTCCTGGAGCTTCTGGTCGCCATGGCTGGGCGCAGATGCTCGGCTGGCCCGCAGGCGTGGATGCACCCCAGAAGGCCCCGCCTGGGAAGGTGCCCGGGGCTGTGCCCTGGGAGCGGCTTCTCAAACTCAGCAGTCGAGCGAGAGAGTGGAAGAATGAGACAACGCAATGATCTCTTTCTGACTTTGTGCTCTCCAGAGGCCGGGCCAGGGCGTACAGGCGAGCGCCCGGTTTGCAGCGATCGCACCCTCAGCAGCCGAGCAGGGGATCGACTACAGCATGGACTTACCCCAGACTTTGACTGGGTCGCCGACTCTGCAGGCAAAAACCTCTGCGGCTCCGTAGCCATCTGATGGACACTCCGCACCTGAATCCTGGACTCGACGGACAAATCGATTTTGGGGTACAGTGGAGGCCAGTCCACAAGAAATCTTCCACAAAAAACCCAACCCTGAGACCCCAGAACGTCCGTTGATTTTGGCGTGGGAACGTCACGCCTTCCATAGCAAAGCCATCGAAACCCAAGAAACCAAGGGCACCCTGGAGGCAAGCAGGGTGTTTCTTGGCATCGGTCTCCACTGTAATGCAGTCGATCTCCTACCCGAAGCATGTCTTTCGGCGGCCTCGGGCCCGGGGCAGGGCCGCGCGCGAGACCAGAGAGTGGCGCGAGAACCCTCTCGGGGGGGGGCAGCAGCGGGGCCCCCACTGCCTCCAGTGTTGGGTCGGGCATGTCCCCCCCAGGCGGATCTTCGACGAGAAAAGGAAACATGACAAAGAAGAAGCAGACATCATCAAACATAAAAAACTAAAAACAAAAAACGAAGAAATCGTCCCCAGGCCATGTTTGCACTATGTTTGAAGATTCCTCCTGCAGAGGGGCAGGCCCGATTTATCTCCAAGTGGCGTGGAGCACGCAGGCCGCGCCGGTCTGGCGCAGAGGCTGGCTGGCGCGGCTGGCCGATGCTGGACGACCCATGACCTGCTCTGTGCACTGCGGTCAGCGTCGTCGTCTTCTTCTTCTTCTTCGGCGTGCCGACCTCGGGCGGCAGAGGGGGAGCGGGGGGGTCTGGCTCCGGACCCCTGCTTGGCGCGACTGCTTGGAGCCGTGGCCTGCGGACCTCCGCCGGCTGGGCGCGCCGCTTCGCCCGCGCCTGGCCGCCGCTATCGCACCGCGGGCCTGTGATAGTGCGGCCCGGCGTGCGCCCGCACCTGTAACGGCCATCCCTGGGCGCGGACGCCCAGCCGTGTCCCCGCGCCGTACGCTTGCGCTGACATGCTCGCTTGCTCGGTCCCTCTGCCCTCGGTCTGCGGGCTCCTCGTCGTGCTCTGCCGTCGCCGTTGTCGCCCATGGAGATTCTGCCGCGCTCGGGGAGAAGCCTGGTCGCCTGTCGGCCGCGAAGCTCCCCTCGAGCCTCGCCTGCCAGCTGCGACCAAGTTCGAATGCCAAGGCGCAAGCGTGCGAACTTGAGCCAAAATGGCTCAGAAATACCATGGGTGCTCGAAACGGGCGGAGGGGGAGGGGGGAAGGCGAAGTTGGGTCAGACCGTATACCGAGGAAGCGCCGCGGACGGAACAAATGAACGATTTAAAGGAACGGGTCTTACGCGGTAACATTTAGCGACCTCATGCCGCGGATTACGCGGACCGCCCAGCCATACGCAAGCAACTGGCGCATGACTGTCCGCGCAATCGGCCCCGTGTTTCTGCGTCGCTCGGGTGGTGAGGAGCTGATTCGAGTCGGTCCGGTTGCGGGTGTGCAAACATCCAGTGTGGGGGGGGGTCAATGCCTGGAGGAAGAGGAAGGCAGAGGAGGATGTTGTTAGATGTGCGGCAAGACCAGTAATGACGAATGATGGTGGATGGAAAGGGTATCAGGATAAAAACGATGTTGTTGATGATGCTGATGGTGATGGAGATGATAATAATGGTGTGGATGCAGATGATGATGCTGATGATGATGATGCTGATGATGATCCCCGCGTCTGAAGGGGTCAGATGATGATGATGCTGATGATGTTGATGATGTTTGTTTTTTTGTTTTTTCCTCGCACCTTTAAACGCTCTGCTTCGATTTCCTCTGCGGTGAGCCGTCGGCCAGTCAGCGGGCAACGAGTCATATCCATTCTCAGCGACTCCCAATCCGTGCTACTATTGCATATAGCGAGGGGCGGCTCCGAGGCAATTCGAAGAGGCTCGCGCGGCCCCGAATCAGATATATGTGGCAGCCGAGCCCTCGTCACAGCCGCCATCTCCCAGAAATCCCGCATGCCAGCACGATCAGATCCAGGCCGAGGGCTGCGACGTCCATGGAACACACCAGGACGAGGAGGGAGGTCGAAACAAGCGCGCACCGCATCGTCAATAGGGTAGCCGTCCATGTCCATCTCGGCGAGGAGGTCGTCCACTATCTCGTCGCACGAGAAGCTCCAGGCACGAGAAGCTCCAGGCATCTCGTCGCGCCAGCTCCACCATCTCCTCGTTCAGTATGCTCAGGAAGACCTGCGCGATCGTCGGGAAGCAGCTCTCGTCCCTGGGGAAGCCCCCCGGCACCAGATCCAGGGAGACAATCGCGACCTCCACGAAGCTCGGCAGAAACTCCACGGAACAGGCCCGCACTAGGCCCAGGAAGGACCACAGGGCCTCCAGGCACGGCAGCGCGATCCTCTAGGAACAGACCCGCACCAAGCGCAATAAAAAAGTCGTCGCAATATACACTGTCTTCGGGAAGAGGCACACGTCCCTCGGGAAGCGGACCAGCATCAGGTCCAGGAAGGCCCACACAATCTGCAGTAAGTAGACGGTCGCCAGGCACAGGAAGTTCCACCTGTCCGCCAGGCAACGCAGCTCGAACGTCAGGCAAATGAGCCACACCAGGCGCATGAGGAACGGCATCAGACTGGTCACCACCTCCTCCTTCACGATAGCCGATACAAAGCTCCCGAAGAACAACGTCAGCTATGTCGCAGTCACGAGCAGGAAATCCGTCTCCATCATGAGGCTCAGCGCGATCATCTTCGGCAGAAAGGACACTTGAATTCGGAACGTAAATCTGCGCGTCCGAATTGAAAGAGAACTTCGGCACCTCTGGGAATAGACCGCCATGATGTCGAGGAGCCTTGTGCAGTGGACCGCCACCGCTCCGCCATGCAGCTGCCGCCCACGGGTCGCCAGGGATCACAGGTGGCCGCACGATGGTCTCGCCGACGTCGCCGGGGTCCGCCACCGCCGTCATCTCCTCCACCATCAGGGTCGTCATCACCAGAACCCCCACCACCATGAGGACGATCGTCACCGCCAGCACCATCCGGAAGCCAAGGAGAAGACCACCAGATGCAAATCTCCTGCTTCCCGCCCGAATGGCGATGCCCACGATCCACTGCAACCAGCACGCCCACCATGCGATCGAACACCTCGAGCGTGTGGAGGAGAAGCGCCCTTGCTGGAGGTGAGGTAGGCCCAGCAGCAGGGTCGAGCACCACCTTAACCTTGGACCTGCTCGGGATGGCAGCCGAGGAGACAGAGATGTGCGCCTGGACCCCTGCGACCACTTGCTCGCGAATCCAACGAAGCCTCGCAGCGACGACCATGGCCCACGGAAGCGGGAGGGGAGAGGGGGAGGGCGCAAGCGCACCCAGGAAGCTGCGGGGACAGGCACGTGCCAGAGCCAAAGCAGCTATGATGATGATGGTGATGGTGATGATGATGATGATGATGATGATGATGATGATGATGATGATGATGATGATGATGATGATGATGATGGTGTTTGGGATGGCTGGTGATGGTGATGGTGATGGTGGTGATGTGGATGGTGATGATGATGATGATGAAGATACTGCTGCTGATGATGATTATTGTTTTGTCTTGCAGCGACGGGACTCGTGATCGTTGACGTCAACGGAACCCAGTCAGGTCTGCCAATCGCCCATGTTCGATTCCAGCAGCAGTGACTTCAAATGTTTTCCGATGCCCTCAAGCGACCCTTCTCCTGCTCACAACTCGAATATCCCCTCCTTCTGCGCGTGGCGCTTGAGAGAGGTTGCGACTGTTGCTCGCGCGCCCTTCGGTGAACGATGAACGGTGAACGGTGCCACCACGAAAACCCACGCGAGGGGAGTGGTCTCAATCACCGCCTCGACGCCGACAGAAGGACAAGACGCAGCAGACCGAGTCAGCATGCACTGGCACAGAAAAAATGTCGGAGGTCCACGCTGATTTCTCGGGCCGACGCTGGGCCCGAAGGGCGCGAGAGGGGCCTGGGCGCCGACCGAGAAATCCGAGGCGGACCTCGGAGACAGGTTCACGCTTGTGTCAAGGCTGCTGCAGCACGCGGTGAGCCTCGGGGCGAATGTGGGATGGCCATGCCCACGGCGAAGGCTGCATCCTGGAGGCGAATTGGCAGGCAGAAAGACTCGCTAACTTTCCATGCTGCAATGTTGCGACGTAATTCGTTGGCGAGTCTTCACCACCTGCAGAGTGAAACTTGGGCGGCTGGCGCGAACGCTGGCATAAAACACGAAAAGAGTGGGCTGTGCCCTGAGGTGGCTATGTTGCGAAAGCAGACTGAAGGCGGCAAGGCGCCACGCGAGTAGATCTAGAGCCTCGGCCTTTCTCGAGGTTCCATGCGTTGAACTCTCAGGAGACGAGGCTGCACGCGCAACTCCTTCCCGACGCTCACCCCGCCTCCCCCTCCACTGTAGAAGAAGAAAAGAACGCCATAAGCAAACTGTTGGCGCTCCCCGCGGATCTCT